GATTCCGAGGCAAACTATTACATCATCCTAGGAAGGACCTGGATGCATAGATATGGGGCTGTACCATCGAGTTATCATCAATGTGTTAAGGCTAAATGGGGAAAGAAGACGGTGACAATTCAAACTACAGAAAGGCCTTTCAAGACCCATGAAACTCATTATTCTGATGCCATCTACTTCACCGAATTGGCTGTCGAAGAAGTTCCCATCACCTCTAAGCCTCGGGGAGTCAAAATTCCTCGTTAGGAGGATATCAAAGATGACAAGGAGCCAAGGGCAGAATCAAGTAAACGGGCGATGTCTCGACCTGAAAGTCCGCCTATTCCTTGGAAGGTGACGAAAGTCCGAGAAGGGGGCAAGATGGTGTACTATTTGTGAAGGTGCGGAGAGTCAGTTTCTTTGGCCACCGACTCCGAGTCAAAAAAAGAGTCTCCTGACAATGACATAGTAATAAAGCCTGAAGTGGCTCCAAAATGCATGCAAGATGGGCCGAAGCCTTAGCCTGAAGAACTTATTGAAATAGATCTGAGTAATGGACAAGATGCTCCAAGGTCGATATTCATAAGTTCGAGCCTTAGCCCAGAGAAACGGGAACAGTTGTTAAAGTTGATAAGTCGGTACTCAGATGTGTTTTCTTTGTCATATAAGGAAATGCCCGGACTAGATCCTGACCTAGTCTCCCATTATCTTGATGTGTTCCCAAACTCTAAGCCAATTAAGCAGGATGCTAAAAAATATCATCCAGATCTCGAAGAGAAGATTAAGGAGGAGATTGAAAAACTTCAACAGGTTGGTTTCATCCGGCCAATACAGTACCCCACGTGATTGGCAAACATAGTGCCAGTAAAGAAGAAGAATGGTCAAATCAGAGTATGTGTAAACTTTCGAGATTTGAACAAATCTTGCCCGAATGATGAATTCCCTCTACCTCACATCGACACCCTCGTGGATGCCACCTCGAGACACCAGATGTTCTCATTCATGGATGGATTCAGTGGATACAATCAGATTAAGATGGCTGAAGAAGACGCAGAAAAGATTACTTTAGAACACCTCTCAGAAACTTCTTCTATACGGTCATGCCTTTCGAACTTAAGAATGCCGGAGAAACTTACTAAAGGGCTATGACTGCAATCTTTCATGACGTGATCCATCATGAAGTGGAAGATTATGTTGATGATCTAGTGGTGAAATCCAAGAAAGAAGAAGACCATCTCTAAGACCTTGAGAAAGTATTCAAGAGGTGCCAGAAATTCAAAATGAGGATGTGTAGACACCCCATTTTTGACCGTCCTCAAGACTTGGACGTCACCATTGGAACACTTGGTGATTACCCTTGTTTGTGTTCATTTGGAGTTCCCGGAGGTCTCGGCTACGCGCCTTGCCTCAGGATCTCCGAACTCGACTGTTTAGTGTCTGGTTTTGCACCAAACACTTGTGTTTTGCCTTGGAGGGGCAGGGAATACCTTGTGAGGCATCCCCACACATCACCGGCCATGGCCAGAGGCCACCGGCTGGTATTTTTATGCCATCGGCAATGTATATTGCCGGTCGGCATTATTTGTTGCCGGTCGGCACTCCATTTTGACAAAATGGCAATTTTGAGCAGCCGACTACTGTTCATCTGCTTTTGCAGATATTTTAATATAGTTGTATGGCATTTTGTTCCCCTCCATACACATGGAGGGATGGACTTCTTGTTAGCTTACCTTGTAAGCTTTAGGGTTAGACATTTTAGAGAGAAAAGTTGTGTGAGAGCTTTGGTTTTAGGTTTAGGGTTTCATACATATTCTATCTCTATACCTCTCTCTCATTTGGCCTTTGTGTGTGTTTAAGTGTGTTTGTGTCTTACTATTGCACATAAACACATAGTGTTACACCTTTCCTTGGTTTCTTGAAGAACCAGAGGTTGTTCTTGAGGTTCTTGGGCTGTTTTGAGCTCGAAGAAGCTGTTGGAGCTTCATTTGTGAAGAGGGTCTTCAAGGGTAACAATCTTACTCCTTTATTCCCCATTTTTTGCATACTATTTTTTCCTATCTTAGAACTGTTTTTGAGCTTAGTGTATAATATAAAAAAGTTCTGTTTTTAGGCCCTCTAAATAGTTTGTTTAGAGTGTTTTGTGGTTTGGAGGTGTTTGACCCCTCTTAGGCCTTGAGAGGCCCCATTTTGTGCTATTTTGTATAAGCTCCGAGACCTTGGTGTTTGGGCCTCCTCACCACTGAAATCTTGAGGGATTTCAGAGGTGAGGATAGTGCCTTGAGGTCCCAAGAAGGAGAGGGTCACCCCCTCTCCTTGTTGTCCTTGAAACGGACCATTTTTGGCCTCTTGAGGGAGCACCTAGCTAAGTTTCTTGTTGACCATGCCTTGGCTATTTTTTGTGCTTATTATGTCATAATATGCCTTTGTTTTTAATTGGTTTTGGTACACCATGCATGCTTAGCATACCTACCTTGTAATGCCATGTTTAGGCCTTAACATGCCTTAGGTTGTAAATCCTTGTTCTAGCATGTTTTAGGCTTAGCCTTGTGAATCTTTCATGCTTATTTTGCCATGTTTAAGGTCTGTCCATAGTTGTTTGAGTCAACTTTGGCATGCTTAGTATAGCCCCTTTGCATTTTTGGTTTGTTGGCCTTAAGTGTGTGAATGTATAGCATGCATCTTTGCCTTAATTTAGTGGGTTGGGACCATTTGCCATGCTATTTCAGTCCCTTTAACATGCTTGTGTGCTTGCCTTGGGTGCCTCTTTGAAGCTTTGAAAGCTTGTCTTGCATGCTCCATGTTTTGGCCATTGTGCATACCCTTTGAATTTGAGCCACTTAGATATCATCTAGGTGTCCCTTGGGTGTTGTCTAGGCCTGCCTTAGACTTGTTTTAAGTCCTCTTAACCTTGTAAGGCTCGGTTGACTTAGTCTTGGTTTAAGCCTCTTAGCTTGTCTTGGGTTTTTGGTTTTGTTTGCATGCTAATGTTTGTCTTGTTTAAATTGGCTTAGCACCTTTTGTAACATGATTTTCAATGCTTACCTTGCATGCCATTAGTCCATGTTAGGCCTCTTTCAAGTGTGCTTGAGAGTCGCCCTTTTGTGCTTGAGTGTTAGCCTTTTAACATGTGCATGTGTGTATGTGTGTTTAGTCTTCATTTCATAGCACTTATGGCCACTGTTTTGGGCCTAATTAGAGCTGCCCAAATCATGTTTAAGTCCATCCTTTGCTTGTTTGCATGTTTGCCTCGCATATTTGCTTGCATAATTGCATGAATGCATTGCATTGCCATGATTGCATCCTTAGCTCACATGCCTAGGATTGTATCTCATTTGTATGCATGCTTGGCCTCTTGAAGTGCTTGTGATAGAGGTTGAGTCCCATTGGTTTGTTCATGTGCATTGCATTCCATATCAAAAATGCACACTTGATTCCTCGGGCCATCACGCATGGAAATGCGCGATTGATGGTCCGAGAACCAAGGAGCGTATCCCTTTGAGTCACCAACATGATAAGGGATAGGTTTGGTGCATATATGGCTTGAATTGCATTGCCATGCAAAGTCCTATCCTCTGCTGCTGTCAAACAGGTTCTGCAGGCACTTTCTGCCGATCGACTGCATGGAGTGCCGACCGGCAACCCATTGATGGCCGATGGATGCATTCACAGCCGGTGATCACATACCACTGCCGGTGGCCATTCTACTCAGCCGATGGTGTCTCCCAATGTCCAGGGAAGCAATCCTGAGACTTTGGCAGCCCTCAGAGGAGCAGAGTAGGGAAAACAGAGGCAGGTTACGCATGGCAGCGCACTTCCGAGCAGGACCGAGCATGCATTGCATTGAGCTCTCTTCCCGAGGCGATTTACTGTTTTTCCTAGCTTAGTTAGTTTGTTAGCTAATTAGGTGATTTGTAATAATTAATTAGCTTGTAGGTTAATTATCTGTAGTATTTATTTGGACCCTCCGAGTGAGGGCAATTATGTAATCAGTGTGCGTGAGTGTGTGTATGTTTTCCAACCCCACGTCTTTCTTCCCCTTTTATTTACCTTCTTTGATGGTTAGTAATAGGACATGTTTAATTTAGCATACCTTATGCAATGCATGCGTGCATCATTCATCAGTATTGCATGCACCAGGCTCAACGCATCATACTAACTGCATAAGTATCTCAAATCTAACTTGAATACATGCTACTTGTGCATTTTCACATGTCATTTATAGACTAGCCGAGCCTACTCTAGTGACATTCCGTATGCGTTGCATTAGACATTAAAACATGGACTTGGATCATGCATTGATTGCTAACTAGTTTATTGTTTTGGCACGGAGTACGATGTAAGTATTTATGCTTTAGCATCTGGCATGAGTGTGAATGTTAACATGACAACATGCTTACCATGTGGATTGTCTGAGTTGGAAAAACTCGTTGAAATTCGTATTTTAGCCTACTTGCGAGTAGCAAATTTCAAAACATTTTCCAAAACAAACAGATATGCAATGCTTATTCCCAAATTAGGCAATCTAGTCTATACTTGTTTGCTGTGCGCATAACGTAGTAGTTCTAGGCTAATAATCGAGATAAGAACACATAACGTTTTCAAAAACGGATATCACGGTTAGTAGAGGCCGATCTTCGGATCGGGCGAGAGGGGGTGCTCATAGCTGACCTTCCCCAATCGTACCCAAGTTCCCGAGCCGAGGCAACTTTGGTAATGACGGACACGTGGCCTTTGGCACCGAGTCAGGGTTTCCTAAATTCCCCCAAAAATAAAATATTTAGGTGGCGACTCTGTATCTGGCAAAGCAATCCATGTTTGGCACTTCTTTTTCTAAAAATCTGTTTTCTCAAAACGATTTGCCAGATTTGGACTCTTTGGTTCAGATTATGAACCGTGACATAAATCGAGTCCGAACTGTAGTAGCGAGGGCCCCCCACGCGAGCACGTCTACAGGATGAATCCTCTCAAATGTGCTTTCGGGGTGACGGCCGGGAAGTTTCTCGGGTTTCTTGTACATAGACATGGTATCGAGGCAGATGAAGACAAGGTCAAGTCTATCAGAGCAATGCCTCCCCTCCCATTCTCAAAAGGAGTTAAACAAGTTCCTCGGGAAGGTGTCTTGTATTCAGAGGTTTATCCCAGCACTTGTAGAGATCTCTGCCCCTTTTGGCTCATTATTAAAAGGAGATGCCAAGTTCGAGTGGAACAAAGAGCACCAAAAGGCCTTTGAGAGAATCAAGGCGGCCTTGACCTCGCCTCAAACCATGATAGCTCCGCAGCCCGGGATGCCTCTAATGTTGTACCTAACCTCAACCCCCAAGTCCATAGGGGCATTATTGGTCCAAGATGTAGATGGAGCAGAACGCCCGGTGTATTACATCAGCCGAAAGATTCGAGGAGCAGAAGTCCGATATACTCCAGTAGAGAGACATTGTTTTGCCTTGGTATTCACTGCCCAAAAGCTCAGGCATTACTTCTTAGTACATCAGATTCAGATTGTTACTATAAGTGATCCAATCCGATACCTCCTCAGCAAACCTGCTCTAACCGGGAAGGTGGCAAGATGGTTGTTAGCACTGGGTGAATTCGAGATCACATGTGTAGCTCCCAAGGCAATCAAAACCCAAGCCCTAGCCGATCTCCTTGCCCAATTTCCAAGTGGTGACTATGAACCAGTGAATGAAGAATTAAAAGGAGAGGTCCATGCAACTATGGCTTCTGAGGAAAGCTTTTGGACATTGAGCTTTGACGGAGCAGCAGTCGGAGGGAAAGGAGGAATCGGGATAGTCCTTACAAGCAAAAGTGGGGAAAAGTTATATTTGTCTTATAAACTGGATTTCCATTGTTCGAACAATGAAGCCGAGTATGAGGCTCTTATTTTAGGTTTGATAGCAGCTGAGAAGCATAGTATTAAAAAGATTCGGATTCGGGGGGACTCAAAGCTAATAGTGAAGCAAGTTTCAGGACAGTTCATCTTAAAGGAGCCTGCCTTGGCCACATATCGAACAACTGTCCAGAGGCTTCTTGACAAATTTCAGAAGGTCGAAATAGAGCATGTGCCTCGCTCCGACAACAAGTTTTCAGATGCCCTCGTAACATTAGGGGCAAGAGTTGATATTCCAGAGGAGGAGGCGACAATTATTATCAAGAAGAGAACAGAGCCTTCAATAATACCCAAAGACAAAGACCTTTCGGAGGACTGGAGAGAAGAAGTCCTCGAACAACTCAGAAACAAAGTTGGAAAATTGACTATGGCCAGGCTTTCCCAATTCATAATTATTCAAGGTGAACTTTACTTCCGAGGAGGTACCGGATTCCTAGCCGGTGTGTTGGCCAACAAGAAGCAAGCTTCCGACTACAACAGATCCATGAAAAGTCCTGCGGGGATGGGGATATCAGTTTGTACAGAAGAATCCAAAGACAAGGCTATTATTGGCCCGAGATGGAGAAGGCCTCGAATCAACTATAGAGAGAATGCCCCAAGTGTTAGTCATACATCCGGAAGGATGAGAGTTGCTTTGAAATTGATACCCCTGACTGGAGACAAGTCTACATTGACTATCTCAGAGAGGGGACACTACTTGAGAGCTCGAGGGACATTGCACACCTCAAGAGGAGAGCAAGGTGGTACTTTCTTGATCAGAACAAGCTTTATAGAAGAAGCATTGAGGGCACTCCCCTGAGGTGTCTCTCCAATGAGGAGTCGGATCTAGTTCTCAGAAGAGCCCACGAAATTGAGTATCAATGAGGGGCTCGGCTGTTCGAGCAACTTATACACCTTGGGTATTACTGGCTGACCATGGAGTCAGATGCATCCCATCATGTGAAGAAGTGCCAGACTTGTCAGAAACATGAAAATTTGATCCATGCTCTAGTTGTAGACCTGCATAGTATCAAAACACCATGGCTGTTCCATACCTGGGCTTTTAATCTGATAAGGCCCATCTCCACACCTTCTAAGGGGTACAAGTGGATTCTCGCAGCTACAGAATTGAGCACGAAGTGGGTCGAAGTAATCCCTCTGAAGAACGCTGCGGGGCTCACGGTTGCGAACTTCATCAAAGAGAATATCATTTGTCGGTTTGGAGTACCAAACACCATCCTCTCGTACAATGGCACTCCCTTCATTAACAAATATGTGAAGAGCCTCCTGGAGACTTACCAAGTGAAGCATCACAAATCCACACCCTACTATCCAAAAGGGAACGGGCAAGCGGAGGCCACAAACAAGACACTGATAAGGATTCTGAGCAAGATGATGGATGAATTTGGGGGGACATGGTCCGAACAGTTGATAGTAGCCCTATGGGTGTATCGCACTTCAAAGAGAAAGCTGACTTAAGCAACTCCTTACTCCCTTGTGTATGGGTCCGAGACAGTGTTACCTATAGAGTTGGAAACACCATTTGCTCAGATGGCTCTCGCCTCGAGGATGGTATTGGAGCCTCGAACCACCAGACTGGAAGCATTAGAGGGAAAGCATGATAGAGCTGCAAAAGCCATGGAAAGGTATCATGAGTCCATCGCCCGAGCCTATAATCAGACTGTGGTGCCAAGAAAGTTCGAGGAATGTGACTTAGTATGGAAGATTGTAGACCCAATCATGCGAGGACAACCCTTGCCAAAGTTTTCTCCAAAATGGGAAGGGCCCTACAGGGTGGTTCAAGCAAGCTCAAGCGGGTACTACAGGCTTGTAAGGGTTGAAGATGGCTTCCAAACTGGCCCGCTCAATGCAAAGTTTATCAAGCGTTACTATCCGTAGATAGACTCATCTATGTTGAAATTCATTTTCATTTTCTTACTTTATCTAAAAGTTGTATTTCCCTTACGTTATGAAGAAGTTGGTTTTCTTTCTGGTGTATGTTTATCCTATCACTTGCAGTGAATTTATTATACTTTTGTCAAGAAAGTTGAAGAATTAATGAGAATATTTCAACTTTTATAAACATGTGCATATGATTCGTTCTTTCCATTGTATCATTCGAAATAAATATTTTATCAAGTAGAATGAGAAAACAATGCGAAAATATCCAAACAGCAAAGATTTTGTCATTTCATTGCATTGTCCTAGATAAAACATTTTTATCGAAAGGGGCAAGAAAGTAATACAAAAAAAAAAAAAAAAAAAAACTCAATCTCTCCTAAAAACACCCTCGAAGAAGCTGCCCGTCACATCTACATCAGAAGGACAAACAACAGAGTGTGCCTCTAAAGTCTCCAAGGTCCGAGCATAGCCCGACTCAAGTTCACGAAAAGTTGCCTTTGTCTCATCTATAGAGGTCCGATAAGAGGCAAGCACAGATAAAATTTCCACCCGATAACTGGCGTTCGAAGCTATATCCAAGCGCTTCCGAAGCCATGATAAATCCACTTGGTGACGCTCCATGTCAGAGATCCCCTGATACGTTGTCTCGACTACTTTCCCATTAAGGTCACACAGCTGTTGCATGTCCAAGCTATATAAGATAGTGGCAAAAGACTCAAGAAGAGCAGTTTGAATGAGTGGACATTGGCAAGCAAATGAAGCAAAGGTCTTAGGGTAACTCGAATGCACAAGCTGTAGAACTGAAGCAAACTCAAGAGCTACCCAATAATGGAGAAATTATACTTTGCCAGAAGCTGAAGGAGGAATTGGGGCCAGAAAGCTACTAGTCTCAGGAATCTCCCTAATGTCTATTGGGTTAGATGAACCACCCGGAGGGGTAACTTCCGGCAGAGGTCTCGAGCCTGAGAATGTGGAGCGATAAGGGGAAAGACCAAAAGCATCACTATCAAAGTGGAAATCGCTAAGATTCAGATCCAAAACATTCGAAGGCACTGGCGATGAAGAACCTCTAGCAGTCGTCTCAAAGGCAGGTGTCTCCCCTTGAGAAGGAGAACCGTAAGAAGTCACAAAGAGAGTCGGAGCAGAGTCCGAGGCAGGTGAAGGCAGGACCCCGGTGGCAGCTAACATTGAAGAAAATATAAGGAAGTATTATGAGGGGTGGGGAACAGTAAAGCCATTTGAGTAAAGATTTCTCACAAATAGAAGTACATGACAAACTTCAAAAAGAAAGATTACCAGAGGGAGAATCATTATGCAAAGCCGGAGCAACTAAAGGGCTCCTAGCATCAACAAGGTCACTTGGCCGTACAGGGAGCGCCTGGTCAATCTCAATGTCTAATGAGGCCTGAACAGTAGCAGTCATCCTTGAAGAAGGAAGGAGGGCCGGAGGATGAGGACCACCATAAGTGCCAGAGCGAGTCTCAGAGATTTCTAACACATCCACCTCCACACCATTCCCAGAAGCGCACCTCATCTCTACATTACTTCTAGAAATATGGCCTGCGGCATCAATTTCTGTGACATCAGTACCTTCAATAATCTCAACATCAGAATGATGAGCCCCGGTAACCTCGTCACCAAGATGGCACTTCTCCTCTGAAGCTGAGCGATGAAGGGAACATCTGACCAATTGAGGGGCATCCTCAGTCACGATAGGACGGTGACGACGCATACGGGGGACAAGGTCACAAAAATGATCAGAAGACTCAGCCTCATCATCATCATCTATAACTGCTATACAAGGGGTGCGTATCTTCACGAGTCTTGCAGACAAATGGAGGGTGTCATCCAGGTCTGAGTCCGGCTTGGTGGAGGCAACATGGCCAGTAGCCACGGTACTGAGAAAGTCAGAAATCGCGGGGTCCTACACAACAGGGGAAAATAAAAAGTGTTCATTTAAGAAGGTACAGTCGCAAGAAGGAAAGTAACTTCAAATCAAAATTTTTGGGTACCTGATGGAGACTTTTGGAAAGGTGAGGAGTGAAAGGACTGGCATCAGAAGCCCTCTTGTGAGCCATCTTCTTAAGGTGGGTTGTCCGAGGACCAGAGGGCTCTAGAGAAGTAATTGCCAAGCTAGAAGCAGGCACCCGAGCCAAAGGGTCAGTTAGAGCAGATAAAGTGAAGAAACTCTCGTACATGTGATCGGATTTTCGACTCTTAGGCAGCCGAAGAGAAGAGTCCTTATAAATCGACGGAGGCAAACATATGGTCGGTCTGCTCTGGACAAATTCAATAAATGCATCGATAGTCTTCTGCTAGTATCGCTTGAAAGAGGGGGTGAAACCCCCTACTTGGTTCAAGCCTGGCATCGTCAAAGAGCCGGATATAGGAAGCATGGTGTGTACAAGTCCGCGACTGAAGCGCCCGTAGCTCTTCGAAAATGATAATAAAGGAGGTGCTGGCCCCGGGGCACATTGGTCAAACCCGAATTGACATGCTACACGGTCAGGTCTATAGATGGCACTATCAACGCCTTTCGCATGCCATACCAATAGTGAACTGGGATGGATCATTATCAGCATATCAACAAAGTGTGCAGGGATGTTCTTCGGCAAAGGAAAAGACACCGAGCGGGAGGAACCATGATAGATAAGTGGTGTTGCCACACCCACCGGTGGGCATACATACGGTCGTGTCACAAAACGCCGGGGATTATGCACCTGAGTATTCAAGGATAAGGTGGAAATGATACGTGACCAACGTGTAATCAACGGCTAGCAAGACTTGGCTTTCTCAAATGTCTGAGACCCGTCAGTACCAAGCACGGGAATACCATCTTTATCTACTATCTCCCGAAGAACCTCTACCTCGAATACAGTCGAAGCAGGGGCAAACTTTGGGAACCTCTCGAAGAAGAAACAAAGCAAGAACTGGCTGTGAATAAAGGAGACAGGCTCATATCGACCCACAGAACGAACCATGTCTCGATGTAGTAGATCCAGCCGGTAATAACGATTCCTAAGAAATAACGGAGCCAAAGGAATTCGATCCCCTCTGAAGAGCCTAACTGCCAATTGGAAGACAAAAGGATTGAGAGAATCCGGAGGTGTGCTCGGAAGAATTAAGAATGAAAAGAAGCAAGCCAGAAATCCCAAAAAATAGAGCCTAGAGCCATACATCGGGCCGACCTCATACTCCCGAGAATCAGGGTTAGCATCTCTAGCTAGGGGCTGAAGATCTCTGAAGAAGTGGCGGATCCATACAGTGTAGGAGGCACGGTCCATCCTCACTCGATTGGTCCTCCTCGCTGAACTATCAAATACGAAACTCCACCGACCACAAGCTTGAAGATTTAGCTTTAGAGATTGGATCAAAGAGTCATCCTCGGGGGGTGTCTGCTCAGGGTAGAAGGCATCAAGGCCGGTCACTTCCAGACGCAGCAACGTGAACATATCCTCAAGGGTGGGCCCCATCTCGTGCTGGCTAAGTATAAAGGTGTGTGTCTCGGTGCTCCACCAAAGAGCCATGGCTTCAAGGCTAGCATTGTTGCGACGGATGGATAAGGATCGAGATATTTTCACCGGGATCAATAGTTGGGCCTCCTGAAGCCACTGACAGAGGCTCTTGTCCGAGAGGACATCATCCACCCATTCCTGCCAACCAAAAGAAGGGTTCGAGAAGGCCTTGAACTGGGGATAACAGTATGGAAAGTCCCTTCGCTCAACCCTAAAACGTAACACTGAAGAAGGGGAAATGAGGGCCTCATGTCTGGGGTCGGTGTCCTCAGAGAGACACAATGGAGTTCCCTTCAGAGTCAGAAGAGAAGTGGTGGAGGTAGCTGCCTGCCAGAAGGGGTCCTTCCGACCAAAATAAGAAGATTTCCTCCACTTAGACGCTGGAGGTACATCCCTCTCTTTC